GTCCAGCAGGTCAAGGCTGCGGTGGCCGGGAACGGCCACTGCACTCCAGTTTGGGTGACAGAGTGAGACTCCAACTCAAAAAAAAAGAAAAAGAAATACAGCACAAACCAATGAAGTGCTAGATGAGGGGCAGATATCTAGAATGGGTGGTGGAGGTGAGGTGCAAAATATCAGCTAGGACTTTGGAACCAGCTGCAGCTATGGAGACCAATTCTCTTTATATCTTGTCAGGAGACTGCAATTGGCCAGTCCCTTTAAGGTTTTGACTTGCACCTTTCTTCCTAGGGAAGAAGGATGTGTATTCTGTTCTCAGGCAAGATGCAGATACTGTAAGAAAGTGCTAGTGAATTTGGGTGGCACAGGGAGGGCTGACACAGAGCCATTTTATTCACTACCTCTAATCAGCTCAATCAGCTTTAATTCCCAACTGACACCATTTCCGTGGTCATAAATCCTTGGCTACCACCACCTTTGCTAAAAACCAAAGAACCTCCATGTATGGCACTGTTGAGAAGGAGAGACTACCATACCAGTACCCTGGCCGTGAGAACACATGAAGGCTTAGCACCTGTATGAGCTGGATGACATAACCTGAAAATGCAAGGACCCTTACTCTCTGCAGTAACCTTGACCAGTGGGATTCTGAGGATGGCATAAGTGCTTACCCGGTGGTGGACTCAGATAGGATACTGAGGCCCCAGTACATAGATTACATGGGACTTGGAGCCAGCATAGAGACAAAATCAAAATAGCTAAGAATTCCATCCCCTAGAGATAATCACTATAATTATGTTGATGTACTACTGACAGTTTTTTCCCTAGGCACACATAAAATATATAGTTATAAAATTAAGATTCTTCCATAAGGAAATTTTCATATTGCTTTACAAAAACATTAAATATGTTGGCTCTTTCCATATTAAATGTTTTTTTGAGTTCTTTAAAAAATATTAAATACTTTTAAAAATAAATTTTAATGAATTCAAAATATATAGTCATGGAAAGTTACTATTTAAACTTTGTTTCATGTCTGGGATTCCAGTTTTTTATTAAAAATGCTCAGTTTAAAATCCTCACCCATGAACCTTTGTGTATATTTCTGATTATTTCTTAAAGACAAATTCCTAGCAATAGTTCTCTTGGTCAAAGGTGTTCAGCACACCCTCAGACACGATGGGTGCTGTCAGCCTAGGCTTCTGTTACCCTGTCCCTGTCCTGCTCTGTTTTCTCTCCTCCATTCAGTCTTGGCAAGGGTTTGTGCTGAACTGACTCTAAATTTTGGACTTCCTGCTGGTGTGGGTAGGAAGCCCTTTGTGGGTGGGTATTGTTCATGCAGACCTTGTGATGCTGGCTCTCATTTAATCTGCTCCCAGGATCTGTTGTGTAGCAATGACTATATGAGAGGCTATCTTCTCTGCATCTCAGATTAGAGTTTCACAGATGGTAGATCTTCTCTTATTATGGATTATGAGAAGGGCCCTGTGTGGCACCAACTGCTTTCTTCATATCATGTATCTAAATCAGTGATCTTCAACCTAGGGTAATCTGGCCCCACCCTGCCCCACCCAGGGACTTTTAGCAATGTTGGAAGACATTTTGGTTGTCATAATCTGACAGTTGGAGAAGGGAGTGTTGCTAATAGGGAGAGACCAGAGGTGCTCTAAAGGTCCTGTGCCTTGTTTGCAATTCAGCATGTTCATAGGTATTCTGAATATTGCTAAAGATAAATTAGAGTTGGTACATAGAAATTCTGAATATTGCTAAAGATAAATTAGAGTTGGCATAGGGATGATGATTAAGTTAAGGAAGGATCTTCTGCAATTTCTTTTCTTTTTTTTTTTTTTTTGAGTTGGAGTCTCACTCTGTCACCCAGACTGATGTGCAGTGGCCGCTCCTGGCCACTGCAGCCTCGACCTGCTGGGCTCTGGCGATCCTTCCGCCTCAGTCTTCAGCCTCACCTTTCCGAGTAGCCAGAATTATAGGTGCGCGCTACCACGCTCAGCTAATTTTTTGATTTATTGTAGAGATGAGGTCTCGCCTGCCCAGGCGGGTCTCGAACCCGTGGGCTCAGGCAATCCACTCACCTCAGCCTCCCAAAGTGCAGGATTACAGGCTGAGCCACCAAGCCCGGCTTGCAATTTCTTTCTTAAGCTGAAAATATGGATCCTGTCTCTCCAGGAAAACCCCTTGTCTTCTTATATTCTCTATGTTTGCTTTTAATTTATCTCTGTCTTTTTCTCTGTGCTTGTGTCTCTGTCTCTCTTTTCTCTCTCTCTCTCTCATACATACACACACACACACACACACACACACACACACACACACACACACACACATTTACACACCCTCTAAATCCTGTAGGTGCTTGATCTGGGTATTAGTTTGCTACTTGCAGGGAGATGAGAGCAGCAGAGAGGAGACACACTCAGGACTGGGAGTTGGGTCTTTATTGAGGTTTATGGAGAGTTCTTGAACCTGCAGGAACCTTCTGCAGGTTCATGGATGTAGGCAAAGAACCAGTAGCAGGACAGAATGAGTGGCAGAGAGACACTTCTCCAGTTCCAGAGATCTTTTCAGGCTGCCTCATGATCCAGGGTTAATTCGCCTTCAGGACCTTGTTGACCCAGGGCCGGTAATGGGAGATTCGGGTGAAGACAGCAGGGGGTTGTGCATTCCACCGTCCATAGGACACGATGCCATGGGCCACCCCAGCACACAGAAGAGGACCCCCAGAGTCTCCCTGTGGGCAGAAAGAATAAAACAGAAGGGAAACCCAGGAAGTCCTTCACAACTGCCTGTGGGCCCCAGGCAAGAGTTACAGTCATACCTCAAGTCAGACCCCTGAGCCCTGGCTCCTCACATGTCCCTTAGATCTGATGCCCTGTCTTCCATTCCTTGGACAGTGACCCTACTTTCTTTACTTCATTCCACATACCCAGGACAGCAGATTAGAATGGATGGCCAGAGACTGTCCTGAGACATGGGACAGTGGATAGTTCCTGCAATCTCTGTCACTGGCGGACAGTGTTTTGACCCCAACTTCTTCCAGGAGTGTCTAGTCCCCGAACAGTGATTTGTGGAGAAGAACCCTAGGGGGGAGGATCACCTTAAATGCAGATTGTGTCTTCTTGGGATTGCCCACACACAGCTGGCGATTGTGGTCAAATTGTTTAAAGTGGCTGCAGGCCTGGGGATCCATGAGCTTCTGCTTCACCTCTTGCAGGGTGTCTGAGGTTGGCGCCCACACACCTGTTTTTCCCCAACCAGCAACCCGGCACACTCTCCCAGGCCGGACAAAGTGGAATTGGGATGCGATGGGAACTGTCCCCACGGCCAGGGTCAGTTTGGCTTTCTCCTTCAACTGTGAAGGGAATGAGGGGCTGTCAGTGCTAGAAACGGACTCTGAGAAAGTTGGAGGTGATCAGGAAGGGACAAGGTGAATTGCTTCATGTTAGATCCAAGTCCTACGAAATTTTCAGAGCAATGGGGACGAGAAGAAACAACTTAAGGGAACAGGAAGTGGGAAAGGGGAAGAAAGATGTTGTTACCTTTAGTAACATGATGTCATTGCGAATAGTAGTGTCATTATATTTTGGATGAGGAATTTGCTTCACAACCTCCAGCTTCTGCCACGTGTCTTCATTCTTTGATATGTTATGGGCTCCAAGAATGACAGTTACAGAACTGTTGTGAGGAAGAAGAAAGGTCAAGGAGAAACAGTGATGGCTTGGGGTTTCTCCTACAATGTACTCATTCTGATAAAGGAGAACTAGAGTTTCCTAGTGAATCACCGAACTCTATTCATTTTCCTTTTCTTGGGTGACCTGCGGCATGTGGGGTTCAGGTTTTACTCAGGGAAGAGCTTTCTAAGGGAACAGATACAATTTCCATGACCCCCTAGGACTGCTGGGAAACGGACAGGCCACGGAGGACTCAGAACAGGGTTAGCACTTCCTTTTTTTTTTTTTTTTTGAGCCGGAGTCTCACTCTGTTGCCCAGGCTGGAGTGCAGTGGTATGCTGCTCACGGCCACTGCAGCCTTGAGCTGCTGGGCTCAGGTGATCCTTCCACCTCATCTTCCAAGTATCTGGAACTACAGGCATGCACCACCACACCCAGGTAATTTTTGATTTATTGTAGAGACAAGATCTCATCATGTTGTCCAGGTTGATCTCGAACCTGCAGGCTCAGGCAATCCTCTTACCTCTGCCTCCCAAAGCGCTGAGATTACAGGTGTGAGCTACTGTGCCCTGCTAGCACTTCCTAATTTAGGAGCCCACATAAGGGCCAGCTCTCTGAAGCAGGAGATATCAGAGGAAAGGAGAAAGTGGGTGCGAAGATCTCATGTGGACCCTGTTCTATGCCTTCCATAAAAGAATGGAATGCTAACTAGAAGCTAGAGTTCCTAAAAAGGCCATAGAGGAAGTGACCCTGAGAACTTGGTGGAGCCCTAAAAATCGAGTCATATCTCATGTGTTGGGCAGGGGTGAGCAGAACTACTTTCAGAGGAGGGACTTTAGAGATGGGGCCTCCATTTTCTCTGAATCAGAGTTGAGCCCACAGTGCCTGAGGTTTAGGGCATCTGTTCAAATGCGAGACCAATGTCTTGCAATCCTTGTCTTCCTTCTCCTGAAAGTTGACCAGTCCCAGTATCCCCTCTTCCAGTTTCACTGCAGGTGCAGCCCTAGTTGTTTACTTCCCATTTGGAGATGAACTGGACCCTGATGTCTCACCTTCCTTCACAGTGAGCAGCTGTCAGCACAAAGTCCCTTCTTATCAGGAAACCACCACAAGCTGCCCGGCCATGGGGAGTGAGAATATCCAGGTAGGCCATGTAAGGGCGGGAGTGTGGCTTAGACTCCATGCCCCCGATGATCTCCCCTGGAACAGAGAACCCCAGTGTTTGAAAACAGGCACTGACACTTTCTCTAGAGAATGAATGGGTAAATTAGATTAAAGTTGAGCAAGACTTCCCTTGAATCTCATCCTCTGTTTTGTGCCCATCTTCCCTCTCATGTCTTTTGTATCTGCTTTCCCCACCCACAATCTTTCACATAAATTCTCATTCCTTTCACATAAATTCTCATCCCAGGCACAACAGCTAATCCTTCTTTAGATACCATTCAATCATTTTCCACCTCAGAATTTTTTTTCACTTCCATCCTGTCCTGTCCCATTCTCCTCTGTTTCCACATAGGACAAGGTGTCCAGGTTCCTGTATTGGCTTCCTCCACAGCCCATGAATAGAGCCACAGAATGACCAGTTCACAAGGTAACATGCAGATGATTAAGAGCACATATTTTCCTGGGATATTCATCTGTCTCCCACTTGTTCTGGCTTTTCCTCAATCAAGGTAGGATTTCTTGTTCCTGTTACTTACAATAAACTGCAGAGTGGGTAGCCATATCCCAATTGAAAACTTCCTTTTCAGATTCTTGAAGAGAGATCTTGGGACCCTATTTCAGAGTCAGCTATTTTCAGACTAAGCGTTATATTTTAGGAGATGATCCTGCAGATTACAGAAGAAAGGATTCCCATACTCACCACCTTCAACTCCCGAGCACAGGAGAAAGAGCAGCAGGGGGAAAGGAAGAAGATGCATCTTTCCTGGGAGGCTTCCTGGGCAGATGCTACTTTTACTTTCCAGTCTTGGGTTTTATAACTCCTGGCAGTCAAAGGAGGGGCAGAATTGGTAACCACAGGAACTGCATGGTCACGTTTTTTCTCTCATTCTAAGTTGGCTGTTTTTATCTTTAGAAATGTCTCCAGAATCACCCTTGTTTTGCTAGAGTGTAGTTGACACCTAAACTCCAGAGTAGTGACTTCTTCAGTGTACCCTCAACCATAGTGTCTTATTTGGGGCAGGAATGGGGCAGAAAATGGAGGGTCTATGTATGCTTTCTGTTAGTTTTCATTCCATTCCACTAAATGCCCTATAAAGCTCCAAAAGAAATGAAAAGTCAACATGTTATCCTGCTTTCCCCTATACTTCCTTTTCCAAGTTCATGGAAAATAACAGAAATGTGCTAGATATCCATTTCTGATAGTTATGAGTTGTATGATCTTGGTCACTGGTCAATGCTAAAACTAGTGCGACACCCCACATAAAGGATGAATACTTGCAATTAGAAAAATATTGCTCTAGATCTCTCTTCTGAACCAACAGTTCATTGGCAGAAGAAGAGAGATGCAAGAAGAGAAGGGGGTAAAGGGAACAGACCTTAGAATAGGACTTAACACACATCACCACAAGAGCAAATGGGATTGGAAATAGCATTTTCTGAGAGCCTACACATATCATATTTTGTCACAACTCGTAGATATACTTTTACTTTCATAGCAACCTTGTAAAGTAGATACCATCATCTCAATTTTATTGATCTGGCTCTCAAGGTTTATGGCTTAGAGTTAAGTTTTTTTTCTTTTGAGTTGGAGTCTCACTCCATTGTCCAGGTTGGAGTGCAGTGGCACACTTATGTCCACCCCAGCACTGACCTGCTGGGGTCCGGCGATCCATCCGCCTCAGCCTTCCAAGTAGCTGGAACTACAGGTGCGTACTACCACATCTGGCTAATTTTTGATTTATTGCAGAGACAAGGTCTCACCAAGGTGCCCAGGCTGGTCGTGAACCTGCGGGCTCAGGCAGTCCACACGCCTCAGCCTCTCAAAGTGCTGGGATTACAGACCGAGCCACCGAATCTTGCTTAGAGTTAGATTTTCTTGATTCCAAATCTAGGATCCCTTTTGCTTTAGCACCCAAGAGACATAGAGGAATAGAGTCCTGTTGATGGGGAGAGGAAGTGTAGATAGAGGAGAAGGATGATTTGCTCCATGGGCACTGGGCTTCCTATACTCATATGAGGTATCAAGCTAGGTTTTGCCAAAAGTAGAATACACACTGATGTCAGTATCTGAGATTTTACTCTTCTTTTCACATAAACTTTGGGAAATACCATTGCTGTCACCTTACAGATGGAAGATTGAGACTCATACACATTGCCATGACCAAGATCATACAACTCATAACTATCAAAAATGGATATCTAGCACATTTCTGTTATTTTCCATGAACTTGGAGAAGGAAGTATAGGGAAGAGCAGGATAACATGTTGACTTTTCATTTCTTTTGGAGCTTTATAGTTCAGAGACAGAGAGGTTCAGGGGGATAAATACCTTTTCCAAATCATTCCACTATGGCCTTTCTTGTGACTGGACTGATTCATTTTTCAGTATCTATTGGCAGAGTCCTCTATTGCTGTTAACTTAATTTCCTATGTTTTACCTACATTGATTTACTATGTTTTACTTACAGTTCAGGCTATTTCTAGAATAAGACAGTTGACACACATTCCTAATGTCTTTTGACATTTGTGCATCTTAGGAGTATTCACACTACTTTCTTTACTCTTTGGAATGCCCAGTTCAATTTACATTCAGATGAGCAACAACTCACCTTTTACTATAAGCATGTCCGAAATATTGACTGAGACATACTTAAACTAAAAAAACAGTTGTAAATCTAAAATTTGAATTTAACCGGATGTCTTGTATTTTTATTTGCTAAAACTTGCAACCTTACTCTGGGCATTCTACCATCAGCAGAACAGAGGAAGACCTGGAGCTGGAGAAGTCTTGTCTTGTGACTCATCATCAGTTAAACCAAAACAGAAGAGGCTTAAAGAAGTGAGGGGTTTTTGTTTCTTATTCATGCCATGGAAAATTGAGAAGCAGGTAGTCCTGGGCTAGTATGAAATGTCCACAGCATTCAGGTTCAGATCCACTGCGACTTGAGTTTTGTTTCACTTGCCTGGCTGAGGGTGAGGAAATGGGGACCAATATTAGAAATCAGGACTGCAGTATCTGCTCATATTTTCTTTCTCATTCTGCTCTGTGTATATTTTAAGAGATTTTCCATTTCTCTCTCTTCTGCCCCCCTTCTGCTATTTTGTATGTTGTATGTTGGCAATGAACTTTACAGAGCAGTCTACCGTTATGAAGTTGGGAAACTACCGAATATCAAGTTGGCAGTGTGACTTATCTAGAACCGGAATGGATAGCATCTAGAGATACAGTACTTGAAGCTAAAAGAAGAAATTGGTGAGATTGGATTACTTCAGTCTCACGAGGAAATGAGGAGTCAAGCCTCATTTTCCAATGTACAAAAGATAGCGAGAAATATGTCTTGGGTGATAATTTTTGCTTTTAGGAATCTAAGGATGGAAAAAGAGTGCATGTTGATGTTGGGCACTCTTTCCAATGGTGGATTGTGGTGGGAATTTGCCATACATGTGGCTCCTTAATGTCTTTTGAATACTCATCCTGTATTAGAAGATTTCTCAGTTATAATGTTTGCTTCCTAAGGTAGACTCCACAAACTTTTGTTCACAGCTTCTTTTGGATCCATGCCATGCGACCTAGATTCTGTCAATGAGAGGAATGGATGTAAAATTTGACCATAAATGGAGTAACACGAGGGAGCAGGTATTACGTGAAATTAATTTTTCTAGCGAGAGTGGGTGGCAGAAGGGTCTGTCTTTATGGGAAGGATTGATGATGATTCAAATGTCTGGTGATGTTTACAGCATGTGGGCCATCCAAGGGGCAGTGGGACTTTTGCCGAATAGTTCTACAAGGTAGTATGAATATCGTTTCTGCCTAGGTAGCCTCTAGACATAATTCTACAGCATCTTGTGAAGGAGCTGTTGACTATATATAAGAAGTAACTTGTTAGTAATCAATTTTTATGACAAAAATGTGTGGTCAAGGGAGGTAAACAATTTCTCCATTGCTGGAGATACTCAAATAGAGGTTTTTTTTTTTTTTTTTTAAATTTCTGAGTCAGGGCCTCACTCTGTTACCAAGGCTGGAGTGCAGTGGCATAATCAAGTCTCACTGCAGTCTCAAACTCCTGGTTGCATGTGATCCTTCTGTCTCAGCCTGCCAAGTAGCTGGGACTACAGGCAAGTGCCACCTCACCTTGCTATCTTTTCTTTTTGGTAGAAACAAGGTCTGATTATGTTTCCCAGGCTGTTCTAGTACTCCTGTGCTCAAGCAACCCTCCTATGTTGGCCTCCCAAAGTACTGTGATTACAGGCATGAACCACTGTGTCCGGCTTCAAGGAGAGGTTTGATGAAGTCTTATTTAAGATTTATAGTTTGTGGGATGTAAAGGTTTTACCTGATGTAAAAGCACTGGCATTTAATTCCCTAGTTACTATAATACAGTGGGATCATTCCTTCTCTGAGTTCCCAAGACATTTATTACCTGTGTCTTTATTCCCTTTAGCATTTAAGGCATGCAGTTGACTTTTTTGGTAAAATCAAATCCTGGTTCTGCCTCTTAGCTCTGTTTATGGTCCCAGGGGAGTTTCTCTTCTTCTTCTTCTTCTTTTTTTTTACTTTTTTAATTTTAAAGATGTGGGGTACAAATCAGGATTAGGTATACAAGTAGTCATCGCACAGATAAAGTTTGGGTCTCCCCTTTGGTCCCCACTTTGCCTGGTTTGAGATCAAGTACCCTTATTGATGTTGTGTTCCCCTCCCCCACTGCAGTATCCTGTTACTGCCAATCTCTTTCTTATAGTATTATGGTAAATGTTCAGGGTCCGCTTATGAGTGAGAACATGTAGTACTCTGTTATTTGTTTCTATGATAGATCACTGAGTATGATAGACTCAAAATCCATCCAAGTTACTGCAAAGTCCATGTTTGTCCTTCTTTATGACTGCATAACATTCTATTGTGTATATGTGCCACATTTTTGTTTAAATCCAGTCCAGTTTCAATGGCAGCACAGTTGGTTCTATGTTTTTGCTATAGTGAATAGTGCTGCAATAAACACGCATGTGCAGGTATCTTTTCTGTAGAGTGATTTGAATTTCTCTGGGTATAGTCCCAGTAGGGGGATTGCTGGGTCATATGGAAGGTCAATGTCTAGTTCTTTTAGAAATCACCACACTGTTTTCCAAAGAGGCTGCATTAGTTTGCATTCTCACCAGTAGTGTAGAAGCGTTCCTTTTTCTCTGCATCCTCGTCAGCATCTGTTGTTGTTTGTTTTATTAATGATGGCCACTCTTAATGAGATTAGGTGGTATCTCAATGTGGTTTTGATTTGCATTTCTCTGATGATTAATGAGACTGAGCACTTTTTCATGTGTCTGTTGACTGATCAGGGGAGTTTCTTAAGTTCTCAGCCTTAGCTACTTTATCCACAAAATATGAAGAATATGGCACAGGGATTTTTGTAGAATTAAATATGGTACCCATTGTAAAATACTACATGGTTCATCCTTAATAAATGTTGATTTTATTCATTTAGTTGTGTTATAATGTGTGCTGACATATAACTACTTGGTAGGTAATTAATGGGTATGTCTTTCTTGGCTATATATTTGTTTGGGCAAATAACAAATTTATACTTCCTCTAAATTCTTCTAAACACCTTACAGATTGACATCAGGTATAGTCTTTGGCTATGCTCTGCTTTGCATAGCATCTTTTTTTCTATTCATTCAACTTACTGCCAGACTGTTTCTTGTTCTTTGAGTAATTGCTGTGTCTTTTTTGATTGAGTAGGTATATCAAAGTTTTTTTAAACTTTAAGTTTCCAGGCAGGGTTATGTCACC